TTTCCTTCCTCCTTTTTCTCCCATCTTCTTCTTTCCTTCTCCCTTCTCCTTCTCTTACTCTTCCTTTCTTCCCCATCTCATCTTCCTCCCTTTTCCCTCTCCTTCCTCCGTTCCTCCTCTTCCTCTTCCTGCTTTCCTTCCTCCACAGCTTCTTCCTTACACCGTCTCCTTTCTCCCTTCCCCCCTCTTCCTCTTCCTCCCCTCCCTCTTTCTCTTCTTCCTCCTTCTTCCTCCCCTCCCCTCCCCTCTTCCTCACCCTTCCCTTCCCACCTCCTCCCTCTTCCCCCTCCCTCCTCCTTCCTCCCCTTCCTCCCTCCTCCCTCTTCCTCCTCCCTCCTCCTCCTCCTCTTCCTCCCCCTCGACTCGCAAAAGTCTTATGGCATCTCCTGGTCTTTACAGTGCATGATACTGCATGAATTATAGAAATGAAAACCGCAGACTCACTCTGGCTGTGAAGACTGACACCACAGCTTCCCTGCCTCCAAGCTGACACAGGCTAAGAGTGCGCAAACATACACACGCACACATACACACATATGTACGTACGTATGTATACTTAGGGGTGAGGATGATACACTCATATGTATGTGCGTATGTATACTATGCAGGTAACATACACACGCACATATACACTCACATGTACGTGCAAATTTATACTGTGCAGGTAAACATACACACGCACACATACACACACATGTACGTACGTATGTATACTTAGGGGGGAGGAGGATGCAGGTAAGCATATAGATGCACATATACACTCACATGTACGTACGTATGTATGCTTAGGGGCGAGGAGGATGCAGGTAACACACACGCATATGTACACTCACATGTACGTACGTATGTATATTTAGGGGCGAGGAGGATGTAGGTAAACATACACACGCACACATACACTCACATGTACGTACGTATGTATACTTAGGGGCGAGGATGATGCAGGTAACATACACACGCACATATACACTCACATGTGGTATGATGGTACACTATACGTACATATGTATACTATGCAGGGGCACATATACACTCACATGTACGTACATATGTATACTATGCAAGTAACATACACACGCACTATACACTCACATGTACGTACATATGTATACTATGCAGTACATACACACGCACATATACACTCACATGTACGTACATATGTATACTATGCAAGTAACATACACACGCACATATACACTCACATGTACGTACATATGTATACTATGCAGTAACATACACACGCACATATACACTCACATGTACGTACATATGTATACTATGCAGGTAACATACACACGCACGATATACACTCACATGTACGTACATATGTATACTATGCAGTAACATACACACGCACATATACACTCACATGTACGTACATATGTATACTATGCAGTAACAATACACGCACATATACACTCACATGTACGTACATATGTATACTATGCAAGTAACATACACACGCACATATACACTCACATGTACGTACATATGTATACTATGCAGGTAACATACACACGCACATATACACTCACATGTACGTACATATGTATACTATGCAGGTAACATACACACGCACAATATACACTCACATGTACGTACGTACATATGCACATATACACTCACTTACATATGGGGTGAGGATGATACAGGTAAGCATACATACGCACATATGCTCTCACACGTATGTACACATGTATACGTACGGGCGAGTATGATGCATGTACAGATGCACATATACGCTTAAAAGTACATATGTATACGTTCGGGTGATTATGGTGCATGTAAGCATATAGATGCACATATATACTCACACGTTCGTACACATGTATACGTACAGGCGAGTATAATGCATGTAAGCATACAGATGCACATACACACTCACACATACACATGTATACGTACGAGCGAGCATAATCCACACAAAACATACTTTCACACTGACTATACTTAACTCGTGCATTATACTCGCTCTTATGTATACATGTGTACGTGTGAAAGTATGTTTGTGTGGATTATGCTCGCTCGTACGTATACATGTGTATGTGTGAGTGTGTATGTGCATCTGTATGCTTACATGCATTATACTCGCCTGTTACGTTATACATTGTGTACGAACGTGTGAGTATATATGTGCATCTATATGCTTACATGCACCATAATCACCCGTACGTATACATATGTACTTTTAAGCGTATATGTGCATCTGTACATGCATCATACTCGCCCGTACGTATACATGTGTACATACGTGTGAGAGCATATGTGCGTATGTATGCTTACCTGTATCATCCTCACCCCTAAGTATACATATGTACGTACATGTGAGTGTATATGTGCGTGTGTATGTTACCTGCATAGTATACATATGTACGTACATGTGAGTGTATATGTGCGTGTGTATGTTTTACCTGATAGTATACATATGTACGTACATGTGAGTGTAGTATGTGCGTTGTGTATGTTACCTGCATAGTATACATATGTACGTACATGTGAGTGTATATGTGCGTGTGTATGTTACTTGCATAGTATACATATGTACGTACATGTGAGTGTATATGTGCGTGTGTATGTTACCTGCATAGTATACATATGTACGTACATGTGAGTGTATATGTGCGTGTGTATGTTACCTGCATAGTATACATATGTACGTAACATGTTGAGTGTATATGTGCGTGTGTATGTTTACTGCATAGGCTATACATATGTACGTACATGTGAGTGTATATGTGCGCTGTGCTATGTTACTGCATAGTATACATATGTACCGTACATGTGAGTGTATATGTGCGTGTGTATTTACTTGCATAGTATACATATGTACGTACATGTGAGTGTATATGTGCATGTACTGCATTATACATATGTTACGTACATGTGAGTGTATATGTGCGTGTGTATGTTACCTTGTCATAGTATACATCATAGTATACATATGTACGTACATGTGAGTGTATATGTGCGTGTGTATGTTACCTGCATAGCATACATATGTACGTACATGTGAGTGTATATGTGCGTGTGTATGTTACCTGCATCATCCTCGCCCCTAAGTATACATACGTACGTACATGTGAGTGTATGTGTGCGTGTGTATGTTTACCTACATCCTCCTCGCCCCTAAACTATACATACGTACGTACATGTGAGTGTACATATGCGTGTGTGTTACCTGCATCCTCCTCGCCCCTAAGCATACATACGTACGTACATGTGAGTGTATATGTGCATCTATATGCTTACCTGCATCCTCCTCCCCCCTAAGTATACATACGTACGTACATGTGTGTGTATGTGTGCGTGTGTATGTTTACCTGCACAGTATAAATTTGCACGTACATGTGAGTGTATATGTGCGTGTGTATGTTACCTGCATAGTATACATACGCACATACATATGAGTGTATCATCCTCACCCTAAGTAATACATACGTACGTACATATGAGTGTATGTGTGCGTGTGTATGTTTGCGCACTCTTAGCCTGTGTCAGCTTGGAGGCAGGGAAGCTGTGGTGTCAGTCTTCACAGCCAGAGTGAGTCTGCGGTTTTCATTTCTATAATTCATGCAGTATCATGCACTGTAAAGACAGGAGATGCCATAAGACTTTTGCGAGTCGAGGGGAGGAAGAGGAGGGAGGAGGAGGGAGGAGGAAGAGGGAGGAGGGAGGAAGGGGAGGAAGGAGGGAGGGGGAGGGAGGAAAGAGGGAGGAGGTGGGAGGGAAGGGTGAGGAAGAGGGGGAGGGAGGGGGAGGAAGGAAGGGAGGAAGAAGGAGGAGAAGAGGGAGGGAGGAAGAGGAAAGAGGGGGGAAGGGAGGAAGAGGAGACGTGGAAGGAAGAAGCTGAAGAGGAAGGAAAGCAGGAAGAGGAAGAGGAGGAACGGAGGAAGGAGAGGGAAAAGGGAGGAAGATGAGATGGGGAAGAAAGGAAAGAGTAAGAGAAGGAGAAGGGAGAAGGAAAGAAGAAGATGGGAGAAAAAGGAGGAAGGAAAACGAAGGAAGAAGAGAAGGGGGAAATAGGAAGAAGGAGAAGGGATTAAGAGGAAGATAAAAATGAGGAAGAGAGGAAGAAGAGGAGGCGTATAGGATGGAAGGAAGAGGGTTAAGAGGAAGGAAAAGAGGAAGAGGAGAATAAGGAATTTAGGAAGAGGATGAAGGTGAAACGAGGAAAAAGAAATAGAGAAAAGGAGAAAGAAGAAGCAGGGGAAAGGGGGAAGGGGAAAAGAGGAAGAGAAGTAAGGGGAGAGAAAAAAAAAGAAAAGATAGGGAAGAGAAAGGAAAGGGAGATAAAAATGGGAGGTGGAGAAGAATGAGAATAGAGAACATAGAGGTAGAGCAGAGAGAGAAGAGAAGAGGGACGAAGAAGGAGGAGAGAGAGAAGAGAGAGAAGAGAGAGAGAGAGGAGATAGAGACACAGAGAGAGAGAGAGAGAGAGAGAGATAGAGAGAGAGAGAGAGAGAGAGAGAGAGAGAGAGAGAGAGAGAGAGAGGAGAGAGAGAGAGAGAGAGAGAGAGAGAGAGAGAGAGAGAGTGAAAGAGAGAAAGAGAGAAAGAAAGAGATAGATAGATAGATAGATAGACAGATAGAATACATAGATAGGACAGATAACATAGATACATAGATAGATCAGATAGATAGATAAGACAGAGAGAGAAACAAAGACAAAAAAAGAGAGGGGGAGTAGGAGGGAAGTGAGGGAGGGACGGNAGAGAGAGAGAGAGAGAGAGGAGTGTGTGTGCGTGTGTATGTGTGTGTATGCGTGCGTGCGTACGTTTGTGTGTGTGTGTCTGTCCACGCATACTAAAAACACAAGTTTTAGAGACCGATCTGTTAATTGGTGAATAGAATATCAAAATAATAAAAAAAGTATATGAGAAAAAACTGGTTCGCGAAAAGGGAAAATTCCGACACTGTCTCGACCAACATGAAGACGCACGGACGAATAATCTATTTTCTATCAAATAAAAAATTCTAGCAGTACATCGGGAAGTCGACGGGGTTGCCACATGTGAAGACCCGTATTCGAGTATATAAGGCTGGTCGCTCTGCCTACGAGACCAGTCCCTGCGTTGTCTTAAAAACTGCAGTCTAGTTTCTCTCAGCCATGGTAAGCTAGAACCGGCGTCTCCCTTGCCACATAGCACGCGAGAATAACTTTTTCGTATGTAATTTTTATTCGACTCTAACGTAGAGTCATTCGTCGAAGAGCGCTTTTGAAGATTGAATTTTCCTTGATCTTGGTATTTTTACTTGACATATTTTACTTGGTACATATTTTTTGAAGGTCCAATCTAATCTAATTTTATTCCTAATTTTTATCGAGAATAACTTCCTCTTTTACGTATGTAATTTTTATTCGACTCAAGATTAGATTTTCGTTAATTCATTGTTTACGTGGTACATATTTTTTGGTTCCAATCTAATCAATTTTGTACCTGATTTTTAACTTAAGAATAATTCCCTCTCTTTCGTATATATATATATATATATATATA